CCCCAAAACCCCAAAACCCCAAAACCCCAAAACCCCAGTAAGTCAAATATATGCTGAATTTTAAAAATTTAAATTTATATAATAATCGAAATGAAAACAGAAAAGAGAAGATTATTGAATCTCCCTCATTGGGATCATCGAGAACCGTTTAAAGATACAACAAATCTTCATAACCAACCCAGACCTAAAAACTTGAAAGTGAAGAAATCAAAGCTACCATTGCCTCAAGCCCAGAACCCTTCAAAAACTACAAGTTCCTTTGGCAAACCTGCAGTGTCTCCTAAGCCCCAAAAGGAGCAGTCTATTCCTGACTCTAACGCACTCGACCATCTTCAAACTTCACTTACCACAGAAAATTTCACAAATAACTTCACAAGTTCAACTACATTTGGACAGATGAATGCGCTTCCAATTTTCAAATTATTAAGGGTTTTCAAATTACAACAATACGCTAAACCCATGGCAGACCTTGGATATGGCCATGAAGTCTATAAATTATTATGACTTTCAGAGACACACAAAATAAAGCTATTGGAGAAGATCAACTTGATGCCTGGGCACCGGGCAAAATTCATAAATTTCTTTGATTCTATCCATCAAGCGTATCCTCAAGAAGAGAGAAAATGCAGCCTTTTTAGAGTCCAGATGGATAAAGACTTTGGTAAAACTTGTACTGATAGTTTAGAACCTGACAAAACTCTCCAAAGAGGAGCTAAATCTAACTCAATGAAGCCGGTCAAGAGAAGGAATAACTTAATAAAGAAGTATAAATGCCTTGATGCAGCTTCTAAGAAAAGTATTAATGACATATTCCTTTCTAAAGTACTGAACAGACCTTGCATTCATCCCCATTTAAGTGAAGATGCTCAGAGTCAATTCAGAGGTTCGAAAGGATTTCAACAGAAGAGTTTAATCGTCTCTAATGATCCAGCATCAATGTATGAGAAATATGGACTTTCCCATAATCCAAAATTTGTATCGAAAAAGAATCAGAAAAGGAAACAGAGAAGAAGAGGGACTTCTCACAACAACAGGATGAAGTTGAATACCTTAACCAGTGATTATAATGATGATCAAAATTGGAAAAATGAGACCCAAAACACATTATACGAATTCAAAAATACTCATAATTCAAGAGTAAGCGGCTGGTTCATTTCTAGTTACCCAAGCAAAGATCATCAAAACCCAGAATACAGAGCAAAGGCAGATTGTACAAAAGATCTGACGTGACTCTCAAGAGTAATCCTTTGTTTGAAAACTCAGGAATGGTATCAACAAGTGCATTTCCTGTGAAGCCATTTAAGAAATTCACAAATCCTCTTCAAGACAGAACTATGGGAACTAAATTTCCCCAGAGTGTAAACTCCAGGCATGGGAAGACAAGTCTTTCCAAGTTAAGGAAAAACAACCGTAAAAGAAATTTATCTGAAGACAAGTGTAAAAGAAAACCCAAGAACTACAGTGAAGAAAGGGCTAAGAGAAAGACAAAAGATTTTTGTATAAGAAATACTAGAAAACCAAAGAATTCTTGTACCCAGAATAAGGCATACTTTGACCAAGCCTCAAGAGACTGTGCAGCCTCTACTAATGCTACAAGACCTAGGGTTAATGGCAACCAATCACAAGGGGCTAAGAACAAATAAAAGGGCTTTCTCTGGGAATAACCGAAGAGTTCCTCTTGATGCTGGGACAAAGATGAAGAATTCTAAAACCAATAAAGAAGCATACACTAAGACAAGTAGTTCTAGGATGAATCATAGCAGAGAAGATAACAATCATGAGATAAACTCTGAAATTGGCCATAAGAATGGTATCTCCTTCTCAGAGGTTCAGAAGGAGAGCGCAAAAGGTACTTTGCTTAATAATTTTGTCTAGAATCCAGCAATGTAAAATCAAATATTTCTGAGTCAAAGCCTAAAGGAATGATATCATCATCTAGCTCTCCTAGCAAAGATAATTCTTATTGCTCCAAATTGAAGGGTGAGTATAAGCTTCCAAGAGACGAAGAGGGTGTTTGCAAAATTATCTCCAAAGAAATCCCTGTGAGCATTAAGCAAGAAGGGAAGAATAAACATCCCAAGTCTGATGAACATAAACAGAAAGGGATTTCGCTTGTTAAACAAAAGAATCCGACTGAAGAGAATAAGAATTTGAAAATCAAATCTCACAAACTAAAGCCTGAGCCTATACAAGAATCTGTTAAAGATATTACACAGGAGGCTGTAGTTGTAGAAAAAGGCAAAGGTATCTTTGAAGAAAAGCTGACAGTACCTCCTTCGCCTTTACTAACAGTTGATGAAAGATTGGAAGCCAAGAAATATGGAAATAGCCTTGATTCCAAGGAGATCAATGATTCCATAGGAGTTATGGAAATCGAGCTTCTCTGTAAATGTCTGTCACATCTTATTTTAAAGCATATCGAATTTTCACAAGGAAAGGTTTTAGTTGATGACCTGGTTGGGGATGATCAGGATATCCCTCTATTCTCATATGACTTAGGAGCCACTCTCAATATCAACCTTGAAGAGATACAACAAAAAATTCAGATGAAAGAATGGGAAGCAGAGTCCAAAAATGAGGAAAATTTTCAAAGACTCCATATGCTAATGAATGGAGGGAATCCGTATATGTTCCATGATCAACAGAATCCTTCAGAAATGGAAGGAGTTGAAAATCCTTATTCTGGAAACATGGATTATGAGCGCATGAATACACATCCAATCTCAGTGGAAGGCCTAGATCAAGACCCTCATCAAAATCCTATAGATTGATCTGATATTAATAGTGTAACTAATACAACGACTAACAATCAAAATATCACACAAAATGCTGATATCCAAATTGAGCACAGGGCAAATTCTCAAGGATGAAACTTGTCAATAATCCAGATGGGTGAGATGCTTCAAAACAAGTCTAACTCTATTGGAAGTCAAGGAGGGATCAGCTCATACTACTCCAATCTTTCAATGATGGGGAATTCTAAGCCATTCTTTTTCCCTCCTCCTGACCTCGGAATGGTAGAAAGCATGGGGAGTTATGAAAATAGTTCAAGATTCTTCCGATCTGTAAGATCGTCCAACATGAACAAATCTTTTAACAAGAACACTTCAATTTGTGGTCTGAAGAACAAGAAAAACATCACCCATGAAGAGATTGAAAATGAAAGTCCTATCACGGAACCAAATTATGGCAAAGAAGAAGAGAAAGCTTTAGAGGCTAGTGCAAGAAAGACAGTGGAAAAATCTGAGGAAAAAGATAATATTTCAGATGCCAGTCTGAAATCAATCGACTCAAATTTCAGTTGAACCGATAACTTCCCAATGAATAGTTCAGAGAAGGCCAATGAGCCTGAGGAAAGTCCTGAAAAGCATGATATGGCATGTGGGCCAACCGAGCCAGATGAGGATTTATCTCATGAAGAAAACTTACTGGACCTTTCTACTGAAAGTTATTATCTCCTTGAGGATCTTTCCAGAGAGGGTTTACAGAAGTACCTCAAAGATTCAATGCTCAATTTTAATGAAAAATATTCAATCAAAAAGAAGGAAATCGAACAAGATATCGAAGTAGCCAATCCATCCTTTGAACTTTGTTATAAATACTGTATCTATGTCATGAATGCCTGAAAAATGGAGAAAGAAATCCCTCTAATAGCCATCCTGTACCTTGAAAGGCTACTTCTTAGAACTGGAATCCTTATGAATCGAGAAAATTGGAGAAGACTCATCCTGATTAGCATGATAATTTCATCTAAAATCTGGGATGACGATTCCCTTGAAAATGAACATCTGCCCGAGGTCATGAATGATGCTACTATTCTGGAAATAAACACATTTGAAAGAGTTTTTCTTGATCTCATAGGTTATGATCTGAATGTAATGGGGTCAGAATATGCTAAATATTACTTTATCTTCAGAACTTTTGCACAGAAAAATAACTTCAAGTTCCCTCTTGAGAATGTAAAAATCCATGATGTTTTGAAGCACCATGCTGAAGAAAGAATCACAGCTGATTTAATCAAAGAATTGAGCTTGAAAAATGTTAAGCTAGACCAATCAATATAAATTGTATTTAATATAAGATCATAAGAGTTCAATTCATCCTTTTTGCCTGGGGTTTTGGGGTTTTGGGGTTTTGGGGTTTTGGGG